GGGGGGGGGGGGGGGGCGCAGGGCAGGAAGGAAGGGAGAACACAAAATGCATTTGAATTGACTTCTTGATACCCACGTGTTCATGCTCCTCCTTGTCCTTTCCTAGGTTCTGATCCGGTTTCTTATCCAAAGAGATGTGATTGTCATTCCCAAGTCTGACAAACCACAACGTGTTGAGGAAAACATCAAGGTCAAGTTTCCATTAGGACTGCTGCTACCTTTTCACACAGGCTAGACACCAACACTTGTATCTCCTATATATCAAGCAGCACCTAAGAGGCATTAGAAGGGGAGTGCAGAGATACAAAGATTTGAGCTCAGCACTACCTTAACCATCCGCATTTGTTCTCTGGGGAAAAGCATTTTGTTCCCGCCAGGAGAGAAACAGGTTACACCAGGGTGGTCCAGGCTCTGCTGCCCTGGAAAGGGAATCCCAGTTTTGGACTCTGGGAAATGCTTAATAAGCCCCTCTTTAGGGTGCAAAAGTTGTTAACACCAGACCTGTTATGGTTTATGTCTCACTTTGAGGCTGTGGCTCCCCTTTGCATGGAGATTCAGCTGGATGTTTGCTCATAAAGCCTGGCATCTTAAGATATCTCTGTGTTACTTTCTATTTATGCTGCTACATTGTGGACTTACTTCACCTGTGAACCACTTGCAGGAGTTCTTAGATGATTAACTGTGAGACAACTATTTGCTGTTGGTACCCAGTAGTCCTCTGTTGTAGCAGAAATATTTACTGCTAGTTCAGTATTTGTGACATCAAGTAATCCATCCTTAGCACCTGAAGTTTTCTGGTTTTGCATTACAACAAACTGCAGTGGGGTTTGCATTCAACCACCCAGAACTGTAAGACATTGCTATGAACAGCACCTCAGAGAGAAAAGGACCGATTACTTCAAGGGTATATTAGTATTTGGCTGAGAAATAAGAGGATTTCTTAACTGTGCTTAGTGTGGATGCAGTATGTTCTTATCTGAAGTTGTAGATGCACGAAGCCCACTTAGTAGCTATTGTAACTACTCATGAACCGAAGAAGAAAACCTTTTTTTTTTTTTCTTCTGCTAGGTGTTTGACTTTGAACTATCTAAAAAGGAGATGGATGTAATCTTCAGCTTTAACAGGAACTGGAGGGCAGTTCCAGTGCTCCCGTATGTTCCTTATTACCCTTATTATCTACTGGGCCTATCTCTATCTGTATTTTCATCCCCCATATCTTGGAAAAAAATACATGACCAAACCCAGGGAGAGCTCATATCTTAAACCCTGGATCCCAGGTAACAAGACATGTCCTGGAACTGGTACTGGGAGGGAGATTCATTCAGGGCATTCCCCAGCATCTTGGTGTTGCATGTGCTTGCTCACAAGCCTGTGTTCAAATTAATAACAGCAGCAAAACTTGAGTAGATTGGCAGTGGGGAAAGGAGACTGCAGTAGGGAAATGCTGCTGAAGATACTTTCTACAATACTTAAAATAACCAGTTCTTTCTCTTTTCAGAGCTGTCAATCACAAGGACTACCCATTCAAAGCAGAATATTAATGCCAGTGGTTTCTGCGAGACCTCTGTGTAAATCCTTCCAGATTAGATTATGTACTCTGGAGCTTGGTCTTGTTTTCTTCTTCTGTACTTGAGAATCATTACGAGCAGTTACTTGTGCTTTTTTAGGAGACCACTAGCTGGTATAAGAATGCATCAGTAGGGATGAGTCATTTGTAAAGATGGTTAACAGAAATCTGGTTTTGATTAACAGTAAAAAGACACTGTCTATTCATTTCCTTTTTTCCTTGTCTTCCTTAATTAAAGACATGTTTAACAAAAACCTGATTATTTAGATGATTCCTTATATGTTATTTCCAGTGCGGTCAGTCATACTGGCTTATAAGTTGTTGTCAAGGAATGGTCTGTTTAATTACTTTGCTTTTTACATATTTGTGATTTTTTTATAGTGTAAATCTCTAATGCCTTAACATTTTATATTAATAAAGTTTGAATAACAACAAAACTTAATTAGTGTAGTGCTTATATTGTTTCATACAGTTAATTATAAAAACATGCCTGAAGTCTGTTTTTTTTAAATTTTAATACAGATATAAATGAGCTGCTGTAATTCCTGTACAAGGACAATACAGAGAGACTACTTTGTGGCTTACACCAAACAGGATCATGCTCTAGCTAGAACCTAAAGAACAATGTTGTACCTATTTCACCTCACATAGCCTTCTCTCTCAACACCCAGAAAGTGAACTTGTGTGATTAGTGGTGAATAGTTGAAGTCAGCATAATATGCAGTGATAGCACACATCAAAATCCACCCAGCTAAACATAAGTGCTACCTACAAAATCACATTGACTTGCTCTAGAAATCTCAAACACAAAATTACAATTTTGCAACTCTGCTGGTAGCATTCAGAACAATATACTCAAACAAATCAATAATAACAATTTTCTGAGGAAACATAGAAAAGCTTTTCTTTAAAAAAAAACAAAGCAAACCCTGAGGTAGACTCAAAATTGCTTTAAAGTATTTCCAGGTAGATAATAATAGGCTAAAGCAAATGCAAGCTTAAAAAATGCTGTCTTGTGGCATTCTGCACACTGACAAAGAGAAAGGGGCTAGGATGCTGAGTGAGCTGCAGAAAAGCATGATCAGAAACTAAGGTGACAATTTGGTATTGGCTGAAAAATCTTCATCTCATAATGGTATCAAAACACCAAAAAAACCTTGCATTGCTGCTGACTCTGTCACAAGGATTTGTCTTCAGCAAATTCTGCCAGGAGGTGGTGCCAGCTGGTGGGAACAAACAATGATTGTGCCGCTTCACAGTATTTCCTAAAAGTAATACTGTGCCTAGCACACTTCCACGCTCTCAGAAAAGGCAAGAGCCAGGAGCGAAAGAAACTCAATCCACATCAAAAAGTAAAAGCATTACTTCAGCAAAGCTTGCAGAGAAATGTAGCACCGTAGTCAGTCAGCGTGAAGCAGGAGAACAGGCACAGTTTCAAGCATACAAGCTCTTTTCAGGATAAATCCAATTACTTCTCCGCCAGTAGTTCAGACAGCTGTGCTTGCTGCAGCATTCTCATTGCTTCCCATGGGGCTGGCAGCAGGCTGGGGGCTCTTTTGGCTGACCATGATCTAGTCAGAGCAGGGCATTGTGTGCTGTGCTGCTGTTAGAGTAAAAATGAAGGAGATGGGAGGATGACAGGAGAGATAGTAGATCCCCAGGCTTGGTCCTTGTGATCATCCAAGCCTGGAAGCTGATCCCAGCGAGGTAGACAGAAGAAACATGACAGCTCTCACACAGAAAACATTTTTCAATGCAGGGAAGCAGACGGCCATACCACTGGGTTAGAACCTATTTGCTGAGCATACTGACTTCTGGATGATGCACAGCTCCCACCTTCTACTGATAGGCACGACAAATAAAGATTCCCCCCCAACTCCCTTAAGAATATGTAAGTTAAAGCTGTTGATTTTACAACTTGGCTGTCTGTTGAAGGATAGTACATAAGGTGAGACATCCTTCGAGCTTCTTTGCAATGATACCTTATCTTCCATGACCTTAGCATGATTCCTGTCCCAGTTACAACTGGCTTGTTCCTACTCATTAACAAACAGGGGGCTGCTGATGGAAATATTCCATTTATTGTGGATGCAGTTTCAGAATACATTGTTTGAACACATCATTTTTATTGCAGCTATCGGATGTATTTGAAAGACTCAGAGGAGCATTTACAAAACCCCCAAACAAAAACATGACAACTCACAGACAATGTCAGGCACAGTTTCACCCCCTACAGATAACTACATGCATCTCTATGTGTAAACAAGATGTTTCAGCCAAGCAGGGGAGCTCATCTTTGGGTTGAAATATAACATTATTCTTGTTTAGGAAGAAGTCAGATGCTGTAAGAGATGGAAGTGGTGAAAAGGGAGATCCTGGTAGCTCTGATGCACAACAAAGCTGTTAACAACATGCTCAGGGGCTATTTCAGTTACTCAGTTTATGCCACCCATACACTGTAGGATGTAAATGCTAAACTGTATATGGCATGTAAATTCAAACCAAGCTGATGTCTTATAGCCATGTGTTTACTATATACAAATGAAAACATCTGTAAATAAGATATTTGGGAGAGAGAGTTAAAAAGAAGCACTATAAAGACAGAGGTTTACTTCATATTAGGTGGATTTAGTGTACGGCACTGATGGATAGCAAGATTTAGTGTACAGTCATTTGAAACAAGCTCCAACTGTGTTTAGGGTTTTTTCTTTTTAATTATGGTAGTTTTATATAAATTAAACTACAACGTTTTATACAAGTGACCTATTTTTGACCCTCTATACCCTTACCTTTTCCTCTTTTAAAAACTATACTTTCTTTTTAATTACCCATTACCGGGCAACTGACATTTAAAATTTTTTAATACTTATCTCACCATACCTTTAATGGCAATTATGAAATCTTACTATAGAAAAGTGTGTGATTTTATCTTTATTTTTTAAGCTGTGATATTGGCTAATTATGTATGTTTATTACTAAATATAATACTCTAGCACGTATTAAAGCATTCTACCATTAGTAGTGCCTTTAGGCTAAACTTTGTAAAGCTATGTGTGTATATAGTCTAAATCGCATTCAATTACTAGTCACTAACACCAAAAAGAAATATCAGTACCGCTGTCAGCTAACATAATCGTCCAAATTTAGGTATTAACTTAAACTGGAATGGAAAATTTGATACTTAAAAAAAAGTATAAAACAAAAAAATTAAAACACATTATTGATGCAGTATTTCTATGACATGGGCAACTTACAGAAAATATTACATTGTCAACTAAAGATATTTCTTCCATGCCTTAGTCTAAAGTGCAGAAAGAAAGACTTCTGTATTACAAAAGTAACTGTTGTTTTTATAGGTTTACTGCACACCTTTCCCAAGCAACTTCACTTTACATGCATTTTGGGTTGACCTCTTATGCCAGTTGAAATCACTGTTCAGATACATAGTTATGACTATCAGTAGGAGAGTCTATATATTTCACAGCATGGGTTTCTTTAGGAATAAAGGCTCTTGTGCAAAGGCAGTACTATTATGATGAATGTCTAGACTGATTATTAAATACAGTGCTAATATACATGGTTTTAACTGGGATAATGCAAAAAGACATTTTGGTAAATAAACATAAATATAAAAAGAACAATTTAGCACTTTTTCTTTTTTTTTTTTTTTTTCCTTCGCCCAACTGGTTGGTCCAGCATCTTTAGTGGCCTTCTATGGTTCTTTCTCAAATTGTCTCAAACCTGCTGAGAAAGAGAAAGCTTAAAGATGGCTTGAAATAACCCAAACGTATCTCTAAAATAGAGAAGGTATGGCTCTAGATTTATACACAGCATGTAAGAAGGCAAGACACAAGCTGAATGCTGCTGTGCTCGTGTACTGGGACTGCTCAGAGGTGGCCTCCAATAGGACAAGCAGGATTTCACCTCTCTTGCCTCTGACAGCCCCAGGAAGCAGTTCAAGGAGAGCTCAGGAGCTTCCCACCCAAAAACGCCCGGGGTGCTGCACCCAGCATGCTCCCCAGCCGTTCCAAAGCAGGCTGCACTGCAGTGCTTGCTGCACGCACTCCAAGACCACAGCAAGACTGAAAGCCAGCTCCTGAGAGCCTCCTCCCGCAACCCTTCTGCTGCAGCCCTCCTCTCACTCAGCCTCAGAGGAGAGGTTCGATGTGTCTGAACCACTCAGCATGGTCTGCTCTTGTAACAACACACGACTGCTAACACCTTCCATGGGAGCAGAGCTGCACTAACCCTGAGCAAACCTGAGAACCCATCTCCTAACACATCTTAATTTTAAAAAGGAGGAGAAAGAAGACCATTCAATCTTGCATTACTCTAAACTGGTAAGAAAAGTTTAGAGGCATGCCATACTTCTTGGCTTCACACACAAATGTGAAGAAAAATGTTTGCACATATTAATGTGTAGAAAACCAAAAGTTTTTCTATATTTGATCATTTCATTGCTACTGAAGAGTCAAATGATGTTGCACGGTTATATTTAAACCTATTAAATCAACCAGTGAAGTTCCGTTCTTCTCCACTGACCCTTAGGCACATAATTCCTTTAATTGATTTTATTTGTAGTGTTTTAGATTAAAATAATAATTAAAAAAAAAAAAAAGCTAGGAGAGTAATTTTGCTGATTTCTTTCTGTACAGCTAGGTTGTCTTTCCTAAACTAAAAGTTTCCAAATAACTTTTTGCCTTGAGAAAACACCAATGTACTGCTCCAACAAAAGCAGTACTGCTGCTGAATGTATTTGAATTCCAGTGCAGTCTGAGTATGCAGGAGCACATGATACTCATGCTGAATTTTCAACAGTGACAACCAGTGACAGTGTTGAAAATCAGATGCAGGCCTCATTCTCAATACTACTGAAATCTTCCATTTCTGCTCAAATAATGCTGCCACAACAGACTCACTTTTTGAGATCCCACTCTCTGCTCATGAAAGGCATAACCATTGCTGCTGCAGCCTTAAAAGAGCCTTTCCCAGATGTCTTGCATTAGTTAAATGACCATCCCACTCCTCAGACCTCACACAGTTTAATGATACTCTCCAGCTACAGCAAACATGCTACGCATGTCACTTGAATGAGGCTTTGCAAACGTGGCTGGAGCACTGCTACTCACTCCTCAGTCCTCCTACAATGATGACTTAGGTTTACTTCTCAAACATTCTTGTTTTGATGATATTGCAATGGCTCTTTAGAAAAGTGAAGGCAAAAAGGGTTTTTCTGCATCAACATTAACAGATGTAGAATTTTAAAGCAAAGATATGCCTGTGAAAATGTGGCAACATTCCTGTTTAATAGGCAGGTGTACTATTAGAATTACTTACCATTTGTCTCTGTTTTTTTCCCCATAGCTGATACCTGTTTGAGAAGTAATAACCCATTATTAAAGTTCAATATGGGAAAACATAGTTATTTATAACAGGAAAAAA